GAGGAGCTGGAATTCTGCATCAGCTCAGTTATGGCCAGCAAAACGGACAGGAACAGACAGACACCCCGTACAGCACAAACCAGGGAGTCACCCGGTGAGGTGCAGAGAGCAGATGTCTCTGAGACCCTCAGCAGGGTCGATCCTGGGGACAAGGGAAGGGAGCTAAAGCCTCCCCCCCAGGCACCATCACCACGGGGAAGGAGAAGATGCTTCTTGCTAGAAGAGACATCTTGACAGAGCACAGACGGGAGAGGCTGGAAGGGACTGGAAACAGATCTGCAGAGCACAGACATAGCTGTTGCTACGGAAAAAGACCCAAAAAGCCACGTGCTTGTTAACAGCAGCACAGCCAAAGGACTACAGAGACCAAAACTGTGTAAGCACAAGGCAGGGCTGAAAACCCGCCGGTCAGCTCCCCATCACTCAGCGCAGGAATACTGTAGGAGTGACCTGTGACTAATCTCACAAGCCCCAGCTACAGGCTTGCTTCCAAGCTGCAAGAGGAAGGTAGTGATACGTTACTTGTCTTAAAGAACGACTTCTGAGCATTTGTACTTTTGGGACTTTTTGCCCAGCACCTATGCTGCAGAGTAAAGGCTGCGGACAAAAGCAGCATCATTCTTCTGTTCTGTCGTGTATCACAACCTTCCTGATTGCTCCTCCCAAACAGCAGCAACCAGGTGGTCCACAAGTCCCAAGGCTGGAAGGATGGGAGGTGGAAGGCATCTGAGAAATACAGAGGCTCCATGACTGCTGTGAATTTAATCATCCAAACCAGTGTTAGAGACAGAACTCCAGTTTCAAGGTCATGCTAAAAGTCATCAGCAGAAAAATGTGTCTTTGCTCTTGGGTCTCAGGCCATGGATCCCAAGACATCAGAGCAGCATCCACTGCTACCTCCTCCTAGCACCTTAGTGGAAGGGGCACCAAAAAAATTAAATCTTTTAAAGGCACAGGCAATTCTGGAGGGGAGTCTTGGTCTCTGCTGGTCATCGAGGCTACAGGCACACTTATCAGCTCTTCAGAGGTTGGGACAGACAATGTTGGATTTATACCAAGCCACAATGTAGTGAGAGAAAAGGCTGTATATGGGAATATAGACCTTAGGAGTCCTTAAATACACATAACTGCAACCTTAGAATATTGCTTTAAAATCTGTCAAAAGTAACATCCATGAAAGATGAACCACGATTACTGTGCATCATTCACCCTCCAGGAAAAACAATATTTTTTGTAAGATGCCCACCATTGTTTTGAAATATTGCTGATGGCTGAATTACTAGCTATTTCTAAGTTTTCTTCTTTTAAATTAACTATTTCAATAAAATTTCAAGTTCTCCATAAACAACTGTCATAATACTGTCAGCACTTTTAAAAATGAGGTATGGCCAAGGCTACATCACCAATCATAAAGGTTTTTCTGTTTTTTGGGTTTTTTTTGACGAAGTCTCTGGGGTATTTCTCAGCATAAATTTAGGAAAAGCCTTTATCTACCTAAGACTGAACTAATGTAACCTGCTCAGGCAGACCAGCATGGATTTGGGGCTGGACTTGCTCTTGGTTTATCCAGAGGTGTTAGAAATGCTGATAATAACCCAAATCCATATGCCGCCAACATAAAATGGACAGGAATACCCTTTGCTGTAAGAGTAACACTGTGACATCAGGTTTTCTGAAACCACAACAAACCACTGTCAGTTCCTTCCTAGCCAAGGAACAAAATATTTTATAGGAAAAACCTAAATTTGATCCAAATTGGCTCTGCTCTAAACTGAACCAAGTGACCTGCAGAGGTCATCCCACTGGAAGAATTCCCACCTGAGTACGGATCTCAAACACCCTCAGAACACTCTGCAAACTCTTAGGACAGAAATGCCTTGTCCCGTTCCTGCACATGCTGACACCAACCTGAGCTGCAGGCCAGCAGAGATAAAGCAAAGCTTCCAAAGGGAGCCTGCAACACCCTGAACTCCTCTTGTCTCTGCACCCCAGCCTTTCATCAAACCCTGCCCTGCAAAACCACTGCAGTCACTGACAGAAGGCAGAGCAGCATTATATAAATGATATATATCTATAGATGTATATGTAATGGTTACACACACCGCATGCCTGAAAGGTCGTAAGGTCATTCTCTCATTAATTGCTCTGTCCTCTTACAGTCTGTGCCATTGTCTAACCAAAACATTGACCATTTTTTCCAAAACAAGTAAAATAGCAAGTGTTCACTGAATTATAAAGATCACCTCCATCCAGAATTGCCAACGTAACTACAGTCTTGTGGGGTAGCGAATGTAAAGAAATCTGAGTGATGACAATGACAAAGAACCTAGAGAAACAGCAGGTGTCCCTACACTGGAATCCTGAAGAAACACCTGCAAAAGGTCCACGTGCTTGTCTGCCAGGAGGGCAGATTTCTAACTGACAGTAAAGAAGAATTCAACTTTCCCTCCTCTTCCAAGAGAACCTGACTGAATAAATTACTGGTTTAAGAGGGATAACGAGAAAAGCCAAGTCCTTGAGGGGTTTCACTCTGCTAATGCATTTTTCTGAAAGGCTGAAATTGTGGGCAGAAATACAAAATTCTCATAACCAATCAGAAAAATCATCAAGTAAACTGAGGAGCACAAACTTGCCACTGATTAACAGTGCTACTTCTCCAAATTCAGGGCAGCTTTGAGCTGTGTGTTCTCATCTTTGCTCATAAAAGCTCTGTCAAGTCATGGAGTGCTGTACAGAGAGAACTGATTGCACGTGGGACGTCCAAGCCAATGGGTCATTTTTCTCAAAGTTGCAGCTTGGCCAGAAACTACGAGCAGGTAACAAAGACGAGCTCTGTAAATAACAGAAGAGTACCACCAAGGAGGCAGACAGGGAGCTACGGCAAAAAGCAGCTGGAGTAACGAAGTGGTGCTCTACAGAGAGAGAACGCCCAAAGCCCCTGTGGTGTGAACATCTGGGCAGAGATGGGAACATCTGGGGCATTGTCCTTGGGGCTCACAGCCTTGGCAGAACCTCTGTCAAGAAGAGATTCTGCTACATGAAAGATCTCTCACCACTTTCTCCATTTCTTCTCTCTCCCACTGAGTTGCTTCTCTCACCATTTCCATCTCCTACGAGAAACCAAAGTTAAAGCCGCTTCACCCAGTGCTCTCTCCCCATCTGGAGCACCTGTAGCCTCAGGAAGATTTGAGAGTCCCATCCTAGCGCATTCCTGATGAAAGTGCTGGAACCGGCTGATCCCATGAAAAAGAAGTCCACTACCCATCATGATGCAGATTCCTCTCACCAAGGGAGCCACTAGAGATTTTCAGAAACTTTTTCCACTCCATAACATTCTCCCAGTTGTAGCCAGAACACCCACCTTCTGTAGGATCTCCAGTTCCTCAGGGCTTAAATCCCGATCAATAGAAGAGATACTTTCCAGGCTATTCTTGCGCCCAATACCAGCAGCAAAAGGGTTTGCAATAATTCCTGGGGACATCTACAAAGTAAAAAGGCAATAAAATGTGGTGGAAGCCCACAGGCTGCTGTACAAAAAATTCCATGTCCTGGGCTCCCAGATACAGAGTTATCAAGATGATCCGAGGCAGAACTCTTTCACAACTTGAAATCTTATTTCAGCTGTCAATTACTCAAGGACCTTGAGGTCTAAGAAAGATGGATTTAAATTGAAACAGGTACAGAACGAGGATAAGGTGAGCAGGGATTGGGTACATATTCTAGTGAAGAATTAAAAAGGCTTACTTGCTAAGCCTTGAGAAAAGAAAGCTGAGAAGGCACAGGACTACCATGGGTAAGCGTCTCCTCGTGGGGAAAGGCAAACACCAATAAACAGACAACTGACTTTAATATAACATTGACACAAGAAAAAATAGGCATAAACAGCCTGGTGAAAATTAGCTTGAAAACTGCATTTCTAACCAGTGCAGTGATACTGTGAAACAGTTCTGCAATCAGCAGAAGACAGACAGTCTTGAGAAACTACTGCTTTTAGGAACTGGCAGCCACCTCCAGTGGCAGGAGACCAAACTTCAAAATCTGGGACCTCAAAAAAATAAAAAAAATTCTACAGCAAAAGGTTGGAAAAATCCAGCAATCTTCTACGAAGAAAGAGGTGGGACCCTTGTGGCACTCATCACTCCACGGGCACCCCACGCTGCATTCTCACCTCAATGGCAGCCGCAGCCTTGGGATCAAAGCCATCGCACACCAGCACGAGGAGCACGTCCCCCACGCTCCGGAGTATCTGCACCGCTTCCGTGTGCGTCATCCCCAGCAAACTCTGATGGTTCACCTCCAGGATCCGCATTCCCACCTTCAGACGGCCATCCCGGGCTGCAGCCCCCGAGGAGCTCACCTGTAACACACGGGCGGAATCGAGAGAGAAAGAAGGGCTCGAGAGGAGATCTGAGAGCACGGGGACCATTGGGAAGAAGGAATGAGGGAGGACAGCGTACAACGGGAACAGGGAGAAAAGGCAGCAGCTACACGTCAGGGAAAGCATCTGGAAGTACTTTTATATATTTAACAGAGAGGGTAGAAAAGGAAGAATGTGTACAGTTTGGTAGAGGAAACAGGTGTGGAAGGAATCTCTTATGGGAGACAAAAAGAATCTGTATTTGGAATGTGTTGTCCCAAGGAAAGAAACGGCTTTGGTTTTGTCAATGAAGCAGGTGAGAAAGAAAGCTCACACATCTATAAGTTATCTGCACAGAAAGGAAAGCGTAGTATTTTTTTGCTGGGAGAGAGACAGAAAATGCAAGCATAGGGATAATTTCTGTGGATAAAGATAAATAAAGCAAAGAGACTTTTCAGTGTCTTTGTGGTAGAGATGGGCGTAAGAAATGGTGCATCTCTGTCATTTTCCAACCTCTCTTTCAGAGAAATAATGCAGAACTCCTCTGTTCTTTCATCAGCAAGCCACAAGAACTCACACTTGCCTCCTGTACACAAGCTGTCTACATGCAGACACTGATACGGCATGTGAAAAACAGAGTTTGTCCTAAAGAGCGCAAGCAGCCAGGTATGTTTGAGGAGAGAATGGAAGCGTGTGCTTTGTCACCAGAACAAAGGCGGTGAAGGCAAGGTTTATTAACTTTTTTCCACTTTGGAACAGGGAAAAGAGACTGCAGGACTTGCTGTGGGCACAAAAGGAAAGAATGAAAGAAAGAAAAAGAAAGAGAGGGAGGGAGGGAGGGGGGGAAGGAAGGAAGGAAGGAGGGAAGGAAGGACGGACGGACAAACACCACCAAAACCCCAAACACACGCAAGCATGAGATTTTGCTCAGGAGAAATACACAAGCTGGAGAAGTGAGAAAAAATGGGACAACGGCAATAGGAGAAGCCACTATCAGCAACTGGACAACATAAAGGATACAACTTAAAATGCCTTAAAAAAGGAACAGAATCGCCAAATGGGCATTACTTTTTCTAATGGGAAACCAAAAAGCTTGGAATAAAATGGGCATACACAGTCAAACGCAGACGTGGGCACCTTGCAAACACCAGAGAACATGCCCACGTCAGGGGTCTCACGCAAAGCCCACAGATCGATGACGAGAAGAAGGAGAGCAGGAGGGCACACGAAGCTGGTTTCTGGGTGGGGGAAGTGCAAGGACATGCACAGCTGGTTGTCAGGGCAGGATGGCGGCACAGGAAACATCAGAGGAAGGAAAGAAAGGACAGACGACTGCACACCACATACTACTGGGATCAGAGAGGCAAAAAAACCCAAACCAAACCAAAGGCATGTGTGTTTATTGGATTTATGAGCTGTTTTGGAGAAGAAAAAACAGATACGTGTTTAATAAAGTACCTGTAAAAAGAAGAGGAAAAAATGCTGAAATGCTGCATGCTTTTTTTTTTTTTTTAGGTTTAGAGGGAGCAAAAGCAGCCACAAGTGCCTACACATAATTTCTTCAGGGCTGTAAAGGAAAACGTTTGAGTGTGCATGAGTGCATGTGCATGCACAGGAGTGGTCACAGGCAGCTGAATGAAAAAAGAGTGAGTACTCACAATTTCTCTTCCAGGGAGAGCAAGTGCATAAGTGTGACAGTAGAACACCCAGAAATAATGGGAGGAGGTGAAGTTAATGTAGAAAAATGTCCTTAATGCCAACTGTCATCTGATTGATATGTCACTGAGGGAGACCGAGCTATCTCCACTGAGACAGACCATGAATTTCAAATTGAAGATATAATCTATTCTTCTCATTGTATTCAACTTGTAATACTTCATCAAGAAGATTTTAAAAAGGAAGAACCAGATTACAACTTAAAAAAAAAATTACAATTAAGGGACTCAATGGAAATGTCAACTAAGAAAAACTAAGGAGAAAGAAGGTAGTAATGAGACATCCAAAAAGAAGGGAAAAGAAAAAGCACTCCTTTGTCTCTCAGTTACTGGAAATATACAGACAAAATAGGAGAAGCAGGAAAAACTCTGGTTACAACAGAAAAGAGAGATCAAGCTGAAGTAACACAGTTGAAGGGAGAGCAGAAAAGTTCAGTGCTGTGGTTCTCCACAGACTAAAACAACTATTTTAAAAAAAATGGGGGTGGGGGAAGTGTTTTAAACTAACCCTGCCATGGGGCTAAACTGTGAGCCTTCCAGCCCCCTGCATGTTGTAACGCTGGAGGAGATAAAAACAAACTTAATAATTAAAAATAACTGTTTACAATAATCTTAGATTTTCTTCTACTGTTATAAATATTGCAGCTGAAAGTGCAACTATTACTTTGATAGAGTGAATTTACTCTTTTAACTTTAAAACTCAGATAAAGAAGTTACATCTAAGCAATAACAGACGCTGAGTATCCCCCTTCTTTGAAAGCCGATTATTAGAGTTAACTGGCAATTCTGGAATGTCCACCACCCAGCAAAGATTATTAAGACTCTAGAGATAGAGCAGAGTTTCTACCCTACCATACCCGCTAAAGAGGGAACCAGCAACACTGATGTGAACATCCAGAGTCCCTCTGTAGACAGCAGGAAAACCAAAAATCACACCACTCATCACTGTGCTCTGTGGCCAGCAGGAAAGAAGAGGCAACAGGTTGTGGTAAGGGCTGGGAGGAGCGTAAGCTTATACACAGCACAGCGTGGAAAAGAAAATACGCATTACTCGGGGAAAAGTGATGTGACAAATGAGTGTGCACACAAGCAGTCACAAAGGAGAGGGAACAAAATTACACACAAAGTGCATGGCACAGGAGGAAAGGTGAGCAATTC